GCAAGATGATCAGAGTCTTGGAGAATATCAGATATATGACCAATACATCGATGGCTCTTATTCTGAAGATGATGACTACTAAGATGTCTTTGGTATAATGATAAGAAGCAGTCGAGCAATACCAGAATATGAACTGCTGAATGAACAGTTGCATTCACAGTAGCAGTTGCTACAGGGAAATAAGCTTTTTGGCAGCCTTCTTCAACTTGAACTCTGCACCAAGTTCTGCTCAAGTTTACTAGAATTGGATAACTTGTCAAGTTTTTATATTTATAAATCGTACTAGTAATATATAATCTTACTGTTCCTCATTTTGATAATCTCAACAAGTTTGGTTTGGGATTTGTTTGTTAGATTAAGTATCGGGATTTAAAGAACATCTTGTTTTAGAGAACATCAACAAACTTTTCCTTATTGAAACTAAATAGGTCCATATAGAGTGAAACAAATATAGGTAATTCCTTTAGCCAACACCAACTAGTTTGGGATTGTGTGCACATTTTTTTCTTTGTAGTACTTAACCTCACACTTCATGTCACTAAATTTCTGCTCTTTTTTTAAAAAACAATTACTAAAATCTCAAGGCACTAATGGACATTTAGCTAAAATCTAACACAATAAAAGTAAATGATTCACATAGAAGATACCAACTTGTTGAGGTTAATCCATATCCAAGTAGAGATAAGAGTGACATTTAGAGAATCTGTAATTTTCCTTAAAAGGCAATGTTTTGTATAGGAATGGAATCAACCTGAAGAGACTGACATTTAGAGAATCTGTAATTTTCCTTAAAAGGCAATGTTTTGTATAGGAATGGAATCAACCTGAAGAGACTGACATTTAGAGAATCTGTAATTTTCCTTAAAAGGCAATGTTTTGTATAAGAATGGAATCAACCTGAAGAGACTGACATTTAGAGAATCTGTAATTTTCCTTAAAAGGCAATGTTTTGTATAAGAATGGAATCAACCTGAATAGACTGAAAAAGATATATAGGATCCAATATAGCTGATCCCAACTGATTTGGATCGATGCATAGTTGACTGATTGATTGATTTGGAATTGCTGACTAGTATATGAACTGATGGTTTGCAATTATTTCTCTATAGCTTCTATCGACCAGATCTGTTACCTGTTCTTATGATGTTTTGTTTTCTCCCGAGTATATCCCTATTTGCTCGAGTTGATAACTTCCCATTGCAAAGGAAAAAAACCCTGGCACTGTAGGATGTTTTTATTCCGATACGTTTTGCTGATGTTTTCGATTTTGTTTTTCTCTTTTAATAGAGAGGAGGCAGACAGAATCTTTTCGCATCAGGGAGAAGTATCCAGACATTTTACCGGTATGATAACCATAGTGCGGTACCTCTCCCATATCTCGTGCAAAGGCTCATTGGATTCTTATTTGAATGCTAGAATCTTGTCTCTGCTTGGGATGAAGGAGCTCCTCCGGAGTCTGTACACACCCCCAGTGAGCGCAGGTACCTACTGAGTGCGAGTGCCGAGTGCTGAGTGACTGTGAGGCATGAGTGATTGTGAGGTATGCTCGAGTGGCAAGAGTGATAGTGAGGTATGCCCGAGTGGCAAGAGTGATTGTGAGGTATGCCCGAGTGACACGAGTAACTGTGTGGTTTGCCCGAGGGGCTGCTTATGATTTCATCATTTTTGCTCACCTTTGCATTGAGCCTTTGTTTGAAAAACTATTGAAAAATATCTTTAAATGATTTTTTACTGGAACCGTGCCCTTCATTGATGCTTCAATACTCTTATCCCTCAGTGCTATGTTTTCCCATTCAGGTGATTGTCGAGAAAGCAGAAAAGGCTGATATCTCTGACATTGATAAGAAGTAAGTTGCTTCTGCGACTTTCCATGATGGTGATTGTTAAGAATAAAGCGTTCAGTTTTAAGCTCTATAGTTATTACATTTAAAACACCGAATGCATGTTGAAATCCAATCCAACTATATATTGGTTTCAGCGTGCTAGTTGCTCTTATAGTTTGTGTTCTCTTTTGTGGTTATATTTGACTTCTAGGTACATGATATCTGTTTTACTTCAGATATTTTTATTTATTTAATTTCTAGTGCTGTTTATTTTTATTTTTTATTATTATTATTATTATTTTGTAGAATATTTGCTTGATCTCAACTTGTTCGGTCATCCGCTTTGTGTCCCCCACCACCCCGGGGCCCGGGGGGGGGGGCAGTGGATGCGGATATTAACATAGCAAGTTAGGAGGATATATCTTGTGAATGCTGCTTGTAGTAGTAAAAGGTTGGCAAAATTTTTGTTCATGAATTGATTATAAAATCAGAGAATTTGTTGCCTGGAAGTTGATAGTACAAGATATTTTATTGTGGTTTGTCATGGTTGATATGAGTTTATGAGTTTCCATTTCTTTTCCTCTTATGCCCCCTGATGGAGGTGGATTTGTGGTTGTGCAAGTTTGGGATATATATATCCTGAATGCTGCAGAATTTTACATTTATTAGCAGGAGTAGCAATTTGACAGAGTTTGTCGCCACGAAGGTTGATGATATAATTCATTAATCATATGCGTTTCTGTTAGATTCAATTTCAAGTATGGTCTGTGCAGTAGTTCCTGGTGTTCATGGTCCCAATCTGAGGTTTTTCGTATCCTAAATACTACATGTTCCTGCCGTTATATAGCACCGGATGGTTGATTTAGATGTTTTGGCTTCATCGCCGTGGAGGTTTGGCTCTGTTACTGAAATATATATTTTGTAGTTTAATTTGTATATATATGTGCAAAGAACTGTCTAGGTATTCAGACGTTTCTTCTTTTGGTAATTAAACACAGGTTGATGCATCAGCATCATGCTATTTGGGCAAATAAACTTCAATATGTTGCCAGAATTAGTCTCCTAAGTCATGATGGTTGCCGATTATTCGTCCTAATATATAAGTAGATCCGACAGATCTATAGCTGCTTTAGTGTAAACTAATATTTGTCTTGCTTTGTGATGTAAGGACCTCGTCCCAGCTGATTTGACTGTTGGCCAGTTTGTTTATGTGGTTCGAAAGAGGATCAATCTCAGCACCGAGAAGGCCATATTTGTCTTTGTCGAAAAACATTCTGCCTCCAACTGGTAAGTAAATTATGTTACATCAAATCTCATACTTTTGCCCTAGACAATTTGAGTCTTGATATATCTTCTTTCACTGCAGCTGTTCTGATATCTGCAATTTACAAGGAAAACAAGGATGAAGATGGATTCCTTTACATGACATACAGAGGCAGATCCGGGATTTTAATTTAATGAGGTTCAAACTTGCATTGAGCTCATTATACTGTTAAAATTATGAGTTCAGATCTAACATTTATTGAGATTTTAGTAGGTTTTTACATATATATATATATATATATATATATATACACACACACACACACATCGTGTTATGAGTTCAAATGAACCCATAACCTTTAGGCTACATGCGCTTCTCTATCTGCTATCTTTCATCGGTAAAGGTACTGAATAACTTTGTCTATCAAAGCGCAGACAAATGAGAAGAAATCACGTGACCTCCGCTTTCTTTTTCTATTTTTTTGTTTACCTTTTTTCTTAGTGGCCTAATTTTGAAGTTGTATATGCCATAGTAGATTAGTAGTAACAGAGTTGCAGTTTTGTGATTTGTATACATTTTTTGTGGAAGAAAGAATGGCTGACTCAGGGATTTTGTCTAGAGACTGGAAGTTTATTGTTATGTTATGATAAAAATGCCTTTTATATATCTTTCCTGTTTGCTGTTCTATTACTAGGAGTGCATACTAAAAATACGATGGCACTTAAAGTATGTAAAAGTCTTGTTTCTCAAAATTTTTAATTTGAATTCAATATACTTCGACGTGAAACACTTGAACTATGTAAAAGTCTTCTATCTTTTTTTATATGCTGAGTTTTCTTTCTTGAGTTTGTGTTATTGTTGGTTCTAGTTTATAATTGAAAGAGCTTGTTGAATTTTTGGGGATACGCAATAATAACATTATTCATTGTGGGAACAAAATATCCTTAAGGACAATATCCTTGACACGCCTCAAGTTAAATTCTATTCTCTATAAATTTTTCAAACATTCACTCTTGCCTTTAGTAATTTGTCTCGTATTATTCCTTATCATTAATGTTGCTCCACCATGATATTGACGGACTTCACGTGTTAAAATATCTTGAGAAAGAATGTCTAAATTTATCTATCTATTTTTTATTATACTAGTTTCTGGACACGTGCGTTGCACGTGTGTTCCATATCAGTTGGTACAAAAAAATTAAAATGATATAAACAATATTAAAACTTGTGCATAATTAGCAACTGAAAATTTGAAAGGAAAAAGCACAAGCTGAAATTGATGAATACATAGTCAGCCTATTCGTATGACTCGATGTCACTATTATATTTTTTAGTTGTAGACACTAAACTAAAATGGTATAACTTTTTCTTATGCAGTTCTTCTAATATACCACATATTCAGCTTGGCAATTTTCTCGAATTTTGATATTTCATAAGTACGTAGTTTTATCGTGAATATAAGCAATGTCAGCTATGTTTGCAAGTGCTTCACATCTTAAAGTTTGTGCCTTGTCTTCTAGAACTTGTAGCCTCTTTTTTACAGCCGCATACATATCAAGAAGTTATTGAATAAAAGTACTCTCTCCATCCATTTTTTAAAAAGTTTTCGGATCGCACGTAAAATATCAATTACAATGCTTTTAAAAAGATTTCTCGCATTAATTCGGCTTGACTTCAAGCTATTGGCTAGTTTTTTCATCTTTACCTAATGCATCGTGTATCCATTTTTTGTGTTCAATTTCAATTTTTTTGGTGAAGCACGTAACATGAAGCTTCTAATTTTGCCATTGATTCTAGACCTCATAGATATATTGGAAAATGACTTTTCTTCACTATTCCTTTTTTTATTCGGCGATTTTCTTCACTATTCATTTCTCGAAATATTAATATATGCAATTGATTGCTAGAATTTCTTTTAAAACAAATCTTTCATCTTTTCTTTCTTTCTTTTTATCTAAAGATATTCTCCAGGTTTCATCTCATCTCATTGAATTACAAAATACTTATACTTTAACTCTATAAACAAAGATAAATCCTAAGCTACATTGATTATCAGAAGGAAACGATTAACAAAAATAACCCATAGTCTTTGAATGTTTATCGCAGAGAAAAGGGGAAAAATAGCTCTATGGAACCAGTCGTTTTCATAATTAGTCCGAAAAGCAAAGCGTAAATTAATATTCAAAGGAGAAAAGAAAAAAATAAATAAAACAATCAAAATAAAATATGTTAATCAAGAATAACTGCATCAGATTTAAGATCGTAGGCGTATAAATTATAGTCTACTGATATATGTGCTGAGTTTCCTTTAAAGATCGGCACAATGAGACTTTGATCACATATATGATGGGATAAGAGCAATAGAGCAGCCCACCATAATCTAAGTTCACTGAGATTTCTTTACATGAGAGTTGTAATTGGAGTAGAGCAAAATAAAAAAAACAAAAAAAAAACAGAAAGAGCATGTTCTTCTGGGAAAAAGGAAGTTTCTAACAAAGAAGAGAAAATGAAAAAATGAGAAGTATGTAACGATCCCAAATTCCCTCCGTAGAAGGTCGTGATGGTACCTAGTTTCTAAGACTAGGTAAGCCTATCAATGCGGAATAATCATAAATATCTGAAATAAATAAACTACAATTCAAATAATTACAACTCCCAAAACTCAGTAGAAATAAGTCACAAGCTTCTAAAATTTATTCTCAATATTTCTATGTATCAAGGTTTAAAGAAAAATAAGGAAGCAACATAAAATGATAGAAGGGGACTCCGGAGTCTGCGAACACTGGCAGATATACCTCGAAGTCTCTGTGCGCAGGTAGCTTCACTAACGTCTAAACTGGTAAGATGTACCTGGATCTGCACAAAAAGATGTGCAGAAGCGTAGTATGAGTACACCACATCGGTACTTAGTAAATGCCAAGCCTAACCTCAATAGAGTAGTGACGAGGTCAGATCAAGCCCTACTGGAGAATAGATAATGACATGAAAAAATATTTAAACAATTTAATAAGATAAAAATGAATACGGAAATGTATCAAATAGTATGTCACATTTAATGACACCAATTAATTGCAAATAATATCTCGTGGAATCAAAACAGAATTTCCTTTCAGCTTTATGAAAATCACAGCAATTAATCGAAGACAACTATAACCATAAATCAATATCAACAAGGGCACTACCGAGGTACCACCTCGTAGTCCCAAGTCATAAATAAATTCACAATATCTCATTTCCTTATATCACCGCGGGAGCCTTCACAATTTATTTAAAAAAATATTTTTTCCGAAATAGCATCCCTTATCACACCGCATGACTTCTAGTAGTCACCCCTACTAGTCACGCGTATCAAGCCACCCTTATCTCACCGCATGCGTTTCAATCCCCATACCTTATACCACCGCATGCGTATCAATATCACAATATATCACAATTTGCACCTCAAGTGCCCAATATTTTAATTTTCCAAAAATAAATCAACAACGATATTTTTCAACAATAAAGAGCTCACGGCTCATGCCAAAATAATCCAAAAATAATATTTTTCCACAATAAAGTGCTCACGGCTCAATCACAATGAGTACCAAAAATCTTGCGAAAATAATCAGGAATAAAATAATTCAGAAAAATAATATTTCATATTAATAATACTTAATTTAAAGAAAAATCAACCTTCAAATAATGCACGGTATAAAAGAAATCAAGTTTCAATCAAACAGGTAAAACAATTAGCAGGAAAATATCATGCAAATTTAAGGTATACAAATCAAATCATTAATGGAGAATATAACAAGATTTAATAATTTAATTAATATGTAACAGTGATCTTCATAATTTGAACAAATAATCCTTCACATTTAGTCCGTGTACACACTCGTCACCTCGTGTACACGACTTTTATCACATTATAATTAATACCAATCCTAGGGAAATTTTCCCCCCACAAGGTTAGACAAGTCATTTACCTCAACTTGCTCCAATTTAACCAAGTATTATGCTTTTTTCTGGATTTTTCGACTCCGATCGACTCGTATCTAGTCATAAGTAATTCAATACAGTCAACAAAAATTATAGGAATCAATTTCATAAGAAAATACTATATTTTTCAGTAAAATTCGAAATTAGCTCAAAATTTGTCAGTGGGGCCCACATCTCGGAATCCGGCGAAACTTATAAAATCCGACAACCCATTCAATTACGAGTCCAACCATATCAGTTTCACTCCGATCGGACTCCAGATCGACACCGAAATCTCAAAAATTTATTTCTATGAGATTTCTAAAATTTTCCAAATTTCAATCTCAAAACACTAATTAAATGGTGAAAACAATGATGTATTTGTGTATATAGACCAAATCCGAGTTGGAATCACTTACCCCAAATGTCTTTCCTTGAAAATCTGTCAAAAGTCGCCTCTGTTCAAGCTCAAGTTTGTCAAAAAATGGCAAGNTGCCACTATTTTTATAACTTACAGATCTGTCCAGTTCGATCTTGGGAGCTCGATCTGTCCAGTTCGATCTTGGGAGCTCGATCTGTCCAGTTCAATCTTGGGAGCTCGATCTGTCCAGTTCGATCAGGGACCTCGATTTTGTCAGGGACCTCAATTTGTCAGGGACCTCGATTTGTCAGGGACCTCAATTTTGTCAAGGACCTCGATTGTAAGGGACCTCGATTTT